TCTATCTATAATATATATATATATTATAGATAGACACATTGATAGAGAGAGAGATATAGCTGATCACTCTCCTGTCTGCTCATCAAGTCATGTGACCAGCATGAAGTCCTTTGACTCGTGTTTAGGGAAACACAGGCTGCCAAGGCTGACTTCTTCATGCTAGTCGCCTGGCTCTCATGCTGATGGAATGGTTTCAGTACCTGGCACCATTACCGATACCGCAGTCACTGACTCAGAACAGAGACTTCCCTGGCTCTATGCATGTTCCAGGTCAGTGACTCAGAATGTACTGACGTCAGAGGTTCTGCTCACTCTATAAAAAAAAAGTGTCCCCTGCAAGGAAGTTAAAGCTGAACTCCAGGCAGACAGCCCAATACAGAGATGGAATACATACAAGGGAGTTGTATCGCTGGCAATCCCCTGCTGAGATTTACACAGCTCTGCAACACCTAACAGCTCTGTCTGGTAGTACAGCAGACCTGATTTTTTTTTCTGGTGCAGTTCAGTAACACTTGCAGGTCTCTTCGCCATGCTACCCTGTGACTGAGCTGTGAAAGGAGAAGCAGCAAACTAATGAGCTCATCTCTCTGTCACTCTGCTCTCTCCTCCTTTCAGCATGCTTCTGGCACTGGTGATTGGCTCCCTATCCTGCGTCTCCCTCTAAGCTGGGACTGCAAGAAGCTAATACCAGGTCAAATGTAGGTACATACACTGCTTGAATAAAAAAAATAAAAATAAAGGCATATTCATTTACACAGAGCGGCCGTCATTTATATATTTAACCCTTTCACTGCCAAGGTACTTTGTTTGTTTTTTCCCTCCGTTTTTTGCACACATGATATAATCCACATTTTAGGCCTGAAAAGAACTTAAAACCCCCCAAATATGATATATTTTCTGAAAGCCAAGACCCTGTAGAATAAAATGGCGGCATTTGCCAATTTTTATGTTGCACGATATTAGCGCAAAATATAGTAAAAACATGCACTTAAGTTGAATTTAGTGCCCCAAACTAGGGCTGCAACAACTAATCGACATAATCGATTATTGAAAAAGTTGTCAACTTTTTCAATAATCTAAAAGCCCCCACAGGTCATCAGTTTAGAGATGCCCAAAAATATTGGCCCCTAGAATTATTGCTCTCACTACGTTGTGCTTGGCGAAACCCAACATCTGTAGCGCAATCGTCGTTTTGGTACGTAGGCGCACACAACGCGTGTTTGCGTGAATGCTTAGGGG